ACTAATGAGAGTTTTACATTTTCTGCCTTCTGTGTATTTGTTCTTGCTTCATTGCACAGCGTAGGCCACAATACAGTGCTGAATCCCGGCGGTGAGTGTGCACCTTCTCGCCTTGCAGACGTGTTTAATGTCCCAACGTCAGGCTGACGTCAACAGTCGGGCTTCTGCAGCTGCCCTGCTATCAGAGGCAGGAAGTCCCCACCTGTCCTAGTTTACGGACAGTATTTATTGCCAACAGCTGTTGTATTTTGTCAAATACCTTTTCTGCCTATAGTGAGATGATCATAAAGTTATGTTTCTTTATTCTACGGATGTGCTGTTTCATTGACTGACCTCTTATTTTCTCGTAATATATTTGTCAGGTTTTGATAGCAAGGTTACATTGATCTTGTAAAGTGGCTTGGACAGTATTTTCCTTTATTTATCAATTAAATTTGTCTAGAATAGGGACTATTTTTTCCCGCTTATATTTTGGTACAATTATCCAGTGAAGCCATGTGGAACAGGAACTCTATGGCAAGGATTTTTTTAAATGACATCTAATTTTTTAATAGACATAGAGTTCTTTAGATTTTTGTCTCTCTCTTTGTGCCCGTTTTGGTAATTTGCGTTACCCAGGGCATGCTTGATTCCATCTGTTATTGAATGTGTTGGCATAAAATCATCCATCATATCCCTTTATTATCCTTTAATGCTTACAGGCTCTTTAATAAAATCATCCATAACATTCCTTTATTAGCCTTCAATGCTTACGGGTTCGCTAGAGATTTCCCTGTTTCATTCCTGATATTGGTAATTTATATTTTCTCTTTTTTTTCCATTATCAGTCTTGCTAGGGGGTTACTGAATTTATTAATCTCTTCAAAAAAGCAACATTTACCATCATTTTCTCAATTGTTTGCCTTCTATTGATTTCTACTCTTAGTTTTATTGTTCCTTTTATTTTACTTCCCTTGGTTTTAATTTGCTCCTCTTTTTCTAGTTTCCTATGGTAGAAGCTTAATTGATTTTAAACATTTATTTGTTTTCTAGTATGAACATTTAAAGCTAAAATTTCCCTCTGAGTGCTTTCTTCACTGCATCTCCCAAATTTTGACACATGATGTTTTAGTTATCACTCAGATCAATTTTTTTTTTTTTTTTTTTGAGACAGAGTCTCGCTCTGTCACCCAGGCTGGAGTGCAGTGGCCGGATCTCAGCTCACTGCAAGCTCCACCTCCCGGGTTCCTGCCTCAGCCTCCTGAGTGGCTGGGACTACAGGCGCCCGCCACCTCGCCGGCTAGTTTTTTGTATTTCTTAGTAGAGACGGGGTTTCACCGTGTTAGCCAGGATGGTCTTGATCTCCTGACCTCGTGATCCGCCCGTCTCGGCCTCCCAAAGTGCTGGGATTACAGGCTTGAGCCACCATGCCTAGCCAGATCAAAATATTTTGTAATTTCCTTGTGATTTCTTCTTTGAACCACAGACTATTTAGACTTATATTGTGTAATTTCCAGATACTCGGTGGATATCCTAAATGTCTTTTTGTTTTTTATTTCAAATTTATGTCTGCTGCGGTCAGAGCTCATACTGTATATGGATTTCAGTATTTCGAAAATGTATTGAGAGTCTGTTTCATAAACTAGTGGCAGTCTTGGTGACTATCCCACGGACACTTGAGATGAACGC